CACTTGAAACCTATATAATTTTATTAACCAACTAGAGGCCCAGTGCATGATCATGCACCGGTGGGGTCCCTCGGCCTGGCCTGCGGGGATCGGGCTGAAATTGGCTCTCCGACATCCCCTGAGGGGTTCAGGATTGCGAGAGGGCACAGGCCAGGCTGAGGGACCCCACCAGTGCATGAATCTGTGCACCGGGCCTCTAGTATGCATATAAGATCTTTGGCTAATCCTTCCTGCCCTCCCCCCTCACCCCTTTCCTCTGAGATTCATCAGTTTGTTCCATGTTTCTATGCCTGTGGTTTCCACTCCTGCATTGAGTGTCTGCCCCCTGGTAGTCAGTGCACATCATAGCTACTGGTCGACCAGTCGGCCAGTTGGCTGGTTGCTTAGGTTATATATATATGTAACCCCAATAAATTCAATAAAATATACATAAAAAGAAACAAAAACAATAAAGTAGTAAGATATGGAAGTGGTCTTTTTGGTGCTCAAGTTTTTATAAACAGTTAAGCTCAATGTTTAATACTTACACATTAATATACTGACCATGAGGAGGTTTTTTTTTCAGCTTTAGATTTGACTTTATATTTTTTATTTTTAAGTTTTATTTTATTGTTTAAAATATTACATATAGTATTACATATGTCTCCCTTTTCCCCCATTGACCTCCCCCCCCCCAGCCACACCCACTACCCAACACAGGCCCTCACACCCTAGTGTCTGTGTCCATTGGTTATGCTTATGGTATATGCATGCATACAAGCCAGTCAGAGAAAGATAAATATCACATGATCTCACTGTGGAATATAATGAACATTATAAACTGATGAACAAAAATAGATACAGACACAAAGAAGCATCAAACAGACTATCAAACTTCAGTGGGAAGGCATGGGAGGGCTGGGGGTGGGGGTAAGAGATCAACCAAAGGACTTGTATGCATGCAAATAAAATATATTTTTTAAAAGAAAGGAGGCATGTTTAGCATGAATTTGGAATGATTTCTAAGATGAAGTAATTGTTTCTGGAAAAGGGAGTGTGGTGCCTGCTCACCAGGAGAAGCCTATGCAACATGCATGCTTTGTGTAGATCTAGTCTGGCAGCTGGTTCCAAGTTACAGAAATCATGACCTACCTTCAACTCCTAGGGACCTAATTGATTGTTAGAAAAGGCTGAACTTTTAGGAAAAAGTATTAGTCTCTATATTGTGACTCTTTGTAAATCAGACCAAGATAGAAGAGGATTCTGGTTGGAGAGGCCAACTTTGCTTTGTAAATCATTGTCAAAAATATTTCGGCTGTAAAAATTACATTGCCTTGTCTCAATTCCCAATACTGCCTTTTATAAGTTGTCCCCTCTACAGCTCGCCACTTATGGCATGGCAAAGATACCCTTTTGATTTGGGTAGTGTTGTAGACATTTAGGGTAAAAGGGGAAAGGTAAATTCTGAGTGAAAAATGCAGAATTTGAGCTGAGAAAATCTAGAGAGAATATTGGAGTGACACAAAACCTTATTTTATTTTTTCTACCTGTGTGTATGTTTTTCTTTCTAGGGCTGCTGATAAGCTCAGGCTGTGCATTATACCCCTTAGGATGGAATAGCCCGGAAGTAATGCAAACATGTGGGAATATCTCCAATCAATTTCAGTTAGGTAAGGTGGCCTGGGCAGGATGGCAATGGTGGTTCATCTGTTTTTCAAAGTGCTTTACATCTTGAATGGGCCTCTGCTTGCTAGTGGTGCTTGCCTGAGTCTCTCTCACTGTGATAGCTTGTGAGATGTGGTGGCTTGGCCAGATTATCTGGCCTTGCTAACTCACAAGGAGTAGACATAAATTCCACTTCCTTGACTATGTCTCTCCACACCCTTCGTATAATTTTACCCAGAGTCTTATTACCAGTTTGGGGCAACCCTGTCTACAATGGGATTTCAAATGCTTGGAGACTGATGATCTGTCATCTTCTGAATAAATCCTACTTCCTATTAATATATTGTTCTAGGCACTTTTTTCAAATACAAATCAACAGTATTTCTTCTTATTCTCCACCGAGGATATAACAAAGGGTAATTTGGTTTTCATCATGCATTAGGAACCCAGGTTGAATATTGGGAATTGTTACTGGCATGTTACAGGCATTGTTACTTTGGCAGTAACTGTTAAGTATTAGAAGGAGTGACAGAAATAGCTCTTGACTCTTCTATGATTGCCAGCTCTCAATGAGAATGGCTTAAATTTACTATTGTGAATAAGGAATAGATTGGGCTCTAATTGGAAGACTTAAAAATATTTTTCTAACTTACCATGATGGAAGAGAATAAGAAGGAAAATGTCTAGGGTGACCCATGGCCTATTTAAAACCGCTGCAGTAGGCTGAGCAGGGGTCTTACCACAATGGTGTTACCTGATAATGAGGGTGTCTCTCCTTATGTTGGGGTAATTGGAACTGCAGCAAAATAAATACACACCCATGGAGCCTGCAAAGGGTTTCCACACACACGATGCAATTTACTTCGTGTGGCAGCTGAAGAAGGTGAGCAGAGCCTTGGAAGGACATGAGATCTCCAAGACCAGGGGCTGGAGGGAAAGTGTGTGCCAAGCATTCCGCACCGTGAGTTACAATCTATATATATAAAAGCCTAATATGCTAAGTGTCTGATTGAGAGGTCAATCAACTGGTCGCTATGATGTGCACTGACCACCAGGGGGCAGATGCTCCGACCGGTAGGTTAGCTTGCTGCTGGGGTCTGTCCGATCGGGACTGGGCAAGACGGGGCCAGACACGCCCTGGACCACTCCCTCGGTCCCTCCCGTGGTTCCTCCCAGCCAACTGCCCCGATCTGTCACGATTGGGACTGGGCAAGATGGCCCTGATCGGCCCAAATCGCTGGCCAAGCAGAGGGACCCCACCTGTGTACAAATTTCATTCACCTGGTCTCTAGTTGATATATAATTCCCATACCATAAAATTTGTCTTTTTAGAGTGTATAGTTAATGATTTTTAGTATATTCACAAGGTTGTGCAATCATCACCCCTATTCAATTTCAGAATATTTTTATGACCCCAAAAGAAATCTCCTACCCATTAGCAGTCACTCTCAATTCCCCCCTGTGCCTAACCCCCAGCAACCACTGTCTCTATAGATTTGCTTATTCTGGACATTTCATATAAATGGAATCATATATGTGGCTTTTTGCGTTTGGCTTCTTTTACTTAGCATAATGTTTTCAAAGTTCATACACATTGTAGCATGTATCAGTACTTTTGATTTTCATGGCTGACTAATATTTCACTGTATGGCTATAAACATTTTATTTGTCTACTCGTCAGTAGATAGATGGAGTTTTCCACATTTACACTATTATTAATAATACTGCTATGAATATTTGTGTACACATTTTTGTATGCATATATAGTTTGAAAAATTGACTTGAGGGAGAGAGACATCAATTTGTTGTTCCACTTGTTTATTCATTCCTTGGTTGATTCTTGTATGTGTTCTGACCAGGGATCGAACCCGCAAACTTGGTGTATCAGGATGATGCACTAACCAACCGAGCTATGTGGCCAGGGGCATATATACTTTCAATTTTTTTTGAGTATGTATCTAGGTGCAGAATTGCTGGGTCAAATGGTTAAGACTTTGAGGAACTGCCAGGCTATTTTCCAAAGTGACTGCATCATTTTACATACTCAACAACAATGTACCAACGTTCCAATTTCCCCAAATCTTCACCAATACTCACTTTCCATTTTTTAAATTATATCTATCCTAATGAGTGTGAAGTAGTAGCTCATTGTGACTTTAATTTGCATTTTCCTTATTATGGATGATGTTGAACATCTTTGTATTTACTTATTGGCCATTTCCTTATCTTTTTTAGAGAAATGTCTATTCAAATTATTTGGCTATTTTTTAACTGGGTTATTTGCTTTCTTTTGTTGAGTTGTAAGAGTTCTTTATGTATTCTGGATACTAGACCTTTTTCAGATATATAATATGCAAATATTTTCCCCATTCTGTGGTTTGTATTTTCACTTTTTTATTTTCTTTTATTGCTTAAAGTATTACAAAGAGTAGTACATATGTCTCCTTTTTTCCCCTTGACCTTCCCCCGGCTTCTACCACCCCCCAGTATCTTGCGTCTATTGGTTATGCTTATATGCATGCATACAAGTCCTTCAGTTAATCTCTTACCCGCCCCCTGAACCCTCCCAAGCCTTCCCGCTGTAGTTTGACAGTCTGTTTGATGCTGCTCTGCCTCTGTATTTATTTTTATCAGTTTATAATGTTCTTTATTATCCACAAATGATTGAGATCATGTATTTTTCTTTCATTGACTGGCTTATTTCACTTAGCATAATGCTCTCCAGCTCCATCCATGCTGTTGCAAATGGTAAGAATTCCTTCTTTTTTTACCGTAGTGTAGCATTCCATTGTGTAGATGTACCACAGTTTTCTAATCCATTCATCTGCTGATGGGCACTTAGGCTGTTTCCAAATCTTAGCTATGGTGAATTGTGCTTCTATGAACATAGGGGTGCATATATCTTTTCTGATTAGTGTTTCTGGTTTCTTGGGATATAGTCCTAGAAGTGGGATCACTGGGTCAAAAGACAGTTCCATTTTTAACTTTTTGAGAAAACTCCATACTGTTCTCCACAGTGGCTGCACCAGTCTGCATTCCCACTAGCAGTGCAGGAGGGTTCCCTTTACTCCGAATCCTCTCCAGCACTTGTCGTTTGTTGATTTGTTGATGATAGCCATTCTGACAGGTGTGAGATGGTAGGTATCTCATTGTTGTTTTGCTTTGCATCTCTCAGATGATTAGTGACTGAGCATGTTTTCATATGTCTCTTGGCTTTCTGAATGTCCTCTTTCGAAAAGTGTCTATTTAGGTCCTTTGCCCATTTTTTGATTGGATTGTTTATCTTCCTTTTGTTAAGTTGCATGAGTTCCCTGTAAATGTTGGGGATTAAACCCTTATCAGAGATAACATTGGCAAATATGTTCTCCCATGCAGTGGGCTTTCTTGTTGTTTTGTTTTTATTTTCACTTCTTTGATGATATCCGTTGAAGTACAAAATTATTTAATTTTGATGAAATCCAGTTTCATTTTTTTCTTTTGTTGCTTGTGCTTTTGGTGTCACACCTCAGCATATATTGCCAAATCCAAGGTCACGAGGACTATTTTGGCTAATCTTGCATTTCTATGTGAATTTGAGGTTCAGCTTGTCAATTTCTGCACAAAAGCCAGTTAGGATTTTGATAGAGATTGTGTTGAACCAATGATTAGTTTGGATAGTACTGCTACTTTAGCAATATTAAGTTTTCTAGTTCATGAACATGAGATAATGTTCCATCGAGTTAGGTCATCTTTAATTTATTTTGATGATATTTTATAGTTATCAGTATACAAGTCTTAGTGGCTTTGTAAAATATATTCCTGATTATTTTTATTGTTTTTGATAATATTATAAATGGAATTGTTTTCATAATTTTATTTTTGGATATCATTGTCAATGTATAGAAATACAAATGATTTTTCTATTTTGACCTTGTATCTTGCAACCTAGCTGAACTCATTTATTAATTTTAATGATTTTTAGTGGATTACTTAGGATTTTCTATATACATCTGAGAATAGATATAATTTTACTTCTTCCTTTCCAATTTTTGTTTCTTTTGTTTATTTTCCTTGTCTAATTACCCTGGCTAGAACCTCCAAGGCAATATTGAATATAACTTGTGAAAGCACACATTCTTATTTTATCCCTGATCTTAGGGGGGTAAAGCACCCAGTTTTTCACCGTCTATGTTTTTTTACATAGATGGTTTTCATTACATTGAGAATGTTCCCTTCTATCCATTCCTAATGTGTTATGTGTATTCATAATGAAAGTGTCTGGCCTGCATGGCTCAGTAGATTGAGCATTGTCTCATACACAAAGAGGTTGCTGGTTCTATTCCCAGTCAAGGCATATACCTGGGTTGCAGGCTTGATCTCCAGTAGAGGGCATGCAGTAGGCAGCCAATTGATGTTTCTCTATCATCAATGTTTCTATCTGCCCTAGCTGGTTTGGCTCAGTGGATAGAGCCTCTGCCCGCAGACTGAAGGGTCCCAGATTTGATGCCAGTCAAGGGCACATACCTCAGTTGCAGGTTCAATCCCCAGCCCTGATCGCCAGCCCAGGTCAAATCTCTTGAGTTAGGCAACCAATTGATTCGTCTCTCTCACATTGATGTTTCTCTCCTCTCTCCCTCTCTTCCACTCTCTCTAAAAATCAATAGAAAAATATCTTCAGGTGAGAATTTAAAAAAAGTGTACTGGATTTTGTCAAATGCTTTTTTTTCAGCTACTGAAATAATCATATGAATTTTATTGATTGATTTTCATATGTTAAACCAACCTTGCATTTCTGGGATAAATTGCCATTGGTCATGCTGTATAATCCATTTCATACTTTTCTGGATTTTGTTTGCTAGTATTTTGAGTTGAGGATTTTTGCATCTATATTCATTAGGAATATTGGTCTGTATATTTCTTTTCTTATGATGTGTTTGTTGGACTTTAGAATGAGGGTAATATTGGCCTCATAGATTGAGTTGCTCTGATTCTACTTTGATTAATGTAAAATGCCAAAAGTTAAAAA